TCCTGAGCTTGGGAGAGTTAAAATTAAGTCTTCTTGAGCAAAACAAGTTATTGGTATTTATTGTTTGTTTCCTGTGGGTTCTATTTATGAAAGTGATCAGGTCTTGTTATGCATACATAACAAGCTTTTGCTCTTTCAAGTTAGAGTCATACAGGAAAGTTCATCCCTTTGATTATTGACTTAGTCATTTTCCTTGTTGCTGTGACAAAATAGTCTACAACTGCAAATTAAAGAAGGAGAAGTTTATTTTGGCTCATGTTTGAGTCCCTGGACAGCCAGCCAGTTCTTGCTTGAGATGGCATGGCTGAGGGGCATGATGGAGGAAAAGTTGATCAAGGCATGGCCAGCTACGAGGCAGAGCATAGGAAAACCTGGAAAAGGAGGTGCCATTGTACCAGATCATGTGCTCAGGGTCCCACCTGCTTCCCACCGGGTCCATTATAACAATAAACCTTCTAGCGATGCTACCGTTTTGCATTTCTGCAGTTTGTTCCGTACCCAGGTCCTGTCATACTTTCTTTGTTCTGATATCATAACCTTTAAATCTTTTATTGCTTTAGAATACTTTCTCTAAGTTTACTTTTAAAACCTTTTTCTGTAGTTCTTTCAATGTAATTTTGTAACTGTTAAGACCATGTAGCTCCTATATCATCTGATAGTTAAACATTTCTCTGCTAGGAAATATAAATAAATTGGGAAGGAGTAACAGAATATAAAGTGTGTAACCAAATACAGGACTTTGTGTTATAAACTGTGACTCATTCTTTTTAGCTGTTTTTTTCCCTTATTTTTGTAGTTCTACTAAGCAAAGCTTTTCTTTCCAAAAAAGGCAGTGAATCAATAGGCTTAGACCTGTTCCATCTTTCAGAAAATTTCCACACATACATTTTTACAGTTGCCAGAAGTTTCTCCCTAAGAAGAGAACTTCTTTTACAGGGAAAACTTTAAAGTCATTTTTCTTTATTCAACTTTTCTTTTTTTCAACTTCAAGATTATTGTGTAGTAACTCAATTGTTAAAATCAATACAATATTATGTTCCCTCCTTATGCATAATTGCAATTCTTTGTAACTTTGTGCTACTGGTAAAAGAGGAAAATTTTTTCTGGACTTCTAAAGCATGATATTTGTATCAAAATCAGAAATCTTCCCTGGAAATACTGCCCTGGAGAACTTTATTTGCAAAATTTTCAACGGTTAGAATAATATTGTAGCTAAGTATTGGGTACTGCCTTGTAATTTACATAGACTGTTTCTTCAAAACAGATTTTATATAATAGATTTTATCTCTGCATTTTATTTTACCAGTTAGTAAACTGAGTTAGAGAGACAAAGTAATTTTAATTTGCTCTGTATCACACAGAGACATAAATGATACTCTTAAGGCATTTCTATTGTAAAAATTTTGGAAAATGAAAGGGTTGTGGAAGACATTTCAGAGTTGAGAACAGGTGATACATGAAAGTTTTCTGCTCAAACTGAACATGGTAGTGTTTCTTCAAAAAGAGTATGGGTCACTTTGATGGTTGTACCATAAGGATTCTGGAATTATGCTACCTGAGTTTAAATTTGATTTCTAAAACTTATTACCAGTGTGACCTTAGTGAAGTTTATTATTTTCTGTACATACCTTTGCTTTTTCATATGAAAAATAAGGATAACTACTTGAATTGCTGGACAAAATGTGATAATACGTTTAAAGAAATGAAAATAATGTCTGGCACATGGTAGAGATTCAGTAGATATTATCAGTTGACAGGTTATTCACATCAGTGGATGGATTATCTACATCAGTTTTGGTTAATATGACTGTGTCAAATGTTAAAAGGTATGGAGAATATAAAAGGAAAAAATGGACAGTTAGACTGATTTTGACTGGAGAGGGTGGAGGAGGGTCTGTAAAGTTGAGGCCATAAGAATTTTGCTTGTTAGTATTTATGAGGTTTACCATTAATGTAAAATTATTAAAGTAGTAAAAATTTTTCAAGTTACTTTAATGTGTTTTGCTTTGAGGAAGCTGACTCAGTATGAAGAATACTGGAAAGAAACATTGTTTCTGTAGCTATATGAGTTACTGTATTAAGTATAGAGGCTTACAATTTTTTGCTCTAAGTTAATGGGCTAAAAATGTCAATGATAGCATCAAATTTCATGTGTGTACTTGGCAGTTTTTGGCCTATTTGATTCTTTTATTTTTTTCAAAAAATCCTATGCTCAATGACTTATGTTCAGACTTAAATGAGCTGAGTGTGCTTACTTCGCTTTATTGATTCAAAAGTTGTCTTTTCATTATTATTTGGCTAATATGTATATTAATAATTTACATTTTAAATTGCTTTTTTCAGATAAAAATCCAGTCTAAAATTAATAAACCTATTATTTGCAGCAAGAATAAGCTGCTGTTGTCTCTTACCTATCTATTGATCAGAGGGTATTTTATAAGTGAAACTGACTTAACAATCTGTCTTTTTTTTTTTTTTTTTTTTTGGTCTTTTTCCTTTTTATCAGTACCAGGGATTGAACTCACGACTGCCTGCTTGCAAGGCAGGTGCTTATGTCGCTGAGCTAAATCCCCAGCCCCAACAATCTGTCTTTTAATTATGAGTTATGTTTGCTTTTGGAAGCAAAAACTGAAGTCAGTGTGTTTGTGTGACTACCTAACTGAATTTCTTTTTACTCCAGGGTAACTGCTGCAGTGTTTTCATTTACATTTTTAGATGAATTTCTAGTTGTCATCAGCAAGAACATTAGGAATTACTTTATTTTCCTCATTTTAATAGAAGTGTATTCCTAATTCACTTTTGGTTGCTACTTTGAAAATTTCTTCTTTCTGTTACCATGTTTGATGTCCTTATTAAATTTTTATAACTTTATTAATGTTTACTTGAAACTGACACTGTCTTGTGTTTGGAGTTCACTGTTTTTCATTTTTTTCCCCTATGTTGTGTCTGTAAATGGAGTGAGTTAATGTGGGATTTTTTCCCCAAATCTCCATTTACAGAGCATAAAAGAGGAATATAACATAGTGGCTCAAAATTTGCTTATCATTATTAAAACACCATTTAAGACATATCAATATCTCAAGCTAGTTGGCAATTTTAATACATACTTTAAACATCTCTTTAATATTATGCTAAGATGATATCGGTATCATTAAGGCTAGCAGTTAAAAAATTTAGACTTACAAAGCCATGAAAAGTCATAGCTAGAAGTCATTCTGTTGACTTCTGAACATACACCTGTATAAATTTATTAATGCTATACAGATGGTAGATAATTGGGTTTCATGAGCAAAAGACTTTATTTAAAAAATTGATGCTGGAAATTGAATCTAGGGCCTTTAAACTGAGCTGAATTTCCCTTCCTCCCTTTAACATTTTGAGACATGGTCTACCTACGCTGTCTAGGCTGAGCTTGACATTTGCAATCCTCCTGCCTCATCTTCGAAGAGTGCTGGAATTACAGGTGTGCCCCACCACAAAAGCAGTCTTTTGAATGCATGGCATCTCACTTTTGGCCCTGTTAACCCATGTATGGAATAGACTGAGAATAGCATGTGGAAGTACTTGATGCTATAGAGAAAGTGAGTGGTGCTTTATTTCATTGGAAGAAACCCACAGCAAAAAAGCGTAAATTTTTGTAGCATAAGGAAAGCCTTTTTCTTGTATAATTGAATTTTACTGTTACAACAGACAAGAACATGATTAAGACCTGGGTAGTAGTGTATTGCTGCTATTAAAAAAAAGACAACTGTGAAGACAGTGCTCTATGACTTACGATATTTACAAAAGGTAAAACTTCATTGTCAACCAATTTTGTAAATAGAAGCCAAAATTTACTGTTAACCATATTTTAGCATTGTACTAGAACTTTACACACATTTTCTCATCTCACACCTCTGTGACGTACTATCATTCATTAGTTAGAGGAATTAATGGTAAAATAAAATGGATAACTCATAATGTCCAGTTATTAGCTGAAGTTTCAAGTAAAGTTGAAACTTTTTACTTCTAAACTTTCATGTTAAAATGTCTAAAGTAATTTGAGAAATAATTATTCTGTGTAGTTGAGTAGTAGTTGAATAGTGTTTAGTACCTCAGTTGGGGTAGACAATATAAACACCTTTATTGCAGAAATATGAAAGAACAGTGTAAAAATGTAAATAACAGTTTATCATGGTTGGCATGTATGTTACACAATTCCAGCTGTTGATAATTTTTATAGGTTAGTTTATTAAAGAATGAGATGAGATAGTACTGTTAAAAAGTGGTAAGCTAGAGAGGAAGAAAAAGATATTCTGGGCTTTTAGTTTTTTCTCAAATTAGGTAAGAATGCACAGAAGATACACTAAATAAATAGTACAGATGGGAAAACAGATTGTGTTTGACCAGGGCAGCTAAAAACTAGTACGTAAATTTTGGATTTTGTGAAAGACTGTTGTCATTTTACAGTTGTCCTATTGCTTTGGTAATTTTGTTTTTTACTTCACATAGTTGTAATATTTTGGGGACTTGAAACACAGTCTAGAAATAGTTTATACCAACCTTAATTTGCAGTGAGGAAACAGTAGTGATTGTGTAGGCGCTTGTAGCTTTCTAGTGGCTTAGCAGTGTATGTTAACCATAGCTTTTGATTGCATGCTTGTGCTCTTTTCCTACTACTATGAGTCTTCCTTTCCTTAAAAATTCAAAAAAAATCATAGTTTGGAAATGAAATACAGACAAAAAATACATGTGTACAATTACCTTCTAAGTATTCCCATTTTGTAGTCTAACTTTGTGTATCTGTTGGGAGATAGTGGATGAAATGATAAATTGTTTAAGTATTTGCTAGTTTTATGTTTATGGGTTGTATGTTTGATATCTAATTAAATGATTGACAGTAAATGTTTGCTTAAAATTAATATTAGACTTATAGATACATTTTTATTTATATCTACTTTTTCTGTTGCGAAAGTAATATAAATACTGAAATCACATTTTTTTCTTTCTTCATTTTGCAGTAGTATTATTGATTCCACAGAATACAGCCAACCTCCAGGTTTCAGTGGCAGTTCTCAGGTAAATGATATATTTAACAGTATGTTTTAGGGGTACCAGGGGTATAATCACTTAAGTTATAAAGTCTTAGATTAGTTTCCTGAAATGTCCTATCATCTAGACATGCTATTTCAAACAGCATGGGGTTGATTAGGACCTGAATAGCTCTGATGTGTAATGTCAAAATTAGCTATTCATTTGCTTACCAATGATGAAAGAGTTTTAAAAGAATGTTTTAAACTTACTAATAATATCAGATCCTGAGAAGACCTCTAGTGACCTTTAGAGGAAACTGAAAAATCAGATCATTGTCTTAGAGATAAGAAAGTTATAACCTGCTGATTAATTACCTATCCTTATGTTGATACTTTGAGCTTTGCTAGTTGCAAGCAACTCAGACTTGAGTACAGTAGATATTAGTCTCATCTCTTCTAGTTAATTTATTGACTTTTCTCTCTCGGTTTTTGATTAGTGAGTGCTGATGTTTGTCAGTTTCTAGTTTTTGAGGCCTGACAATGGCTTCTTTTAACTTTTAGGGATAAGTAACAATACTAAAATTAGTTTCTTCATGTTTTCTTCATGTAGGTTGTTCAAACAGTAACATTTTGTCTTACTCTCATTTAATACCGCATAACATACAGTTTTATCCCTGGATTGCTTGATTTAGGTACAGGTACACATTCCTTTACCCTTAAATAAACCTGTGTGTGTTTCCTTAAAAACAAGGATATCATATTACATAATCACAATACAGTTTTAAAGTTGAAGAACTTAACGTAGATACAGTGTCATTTTCTTATCCCTAGATAGTATTCAGGTTTCATAAATTGTCCCAATATAGTATTATGCTTTTAGTGAGAGGAAAAAAATGAAGCATTTTTAATGTATTTGTGTATATATTCACTTTATGTGAAAAAATAATGCAATTGTTACTACTGTTACTTTTTTTTGTGATAACTCTAAACATCCTATGTTATCTCCGTGTTCCTGCTTGCATTTGCCCTATTTTTTAATACTAAGTTCATAGATTTGTTTGTTCATATCTCTTTCTAACCGTTAGACGTTGATGCAAGTATTTTTAGTAAGGCCTAATGTAATATATCAGGAGAAATTTTAAATCTGTATGTTGAAATACATTGTAGAACTTGAGAGAGAAAAAGCAGTCTCTGAATCAGAAATTGCCTTGGCATTCATAGATAGGCTTTGTTATACCCCTTTTGAACATAATTTTACAGAACATCAGCATCAGACATGGCTATTCTGTGACTTGAAAATGAAACAGAAACCTAGAATATGCTGTAAACTTGTATTAGGACATAAAAAGCAAAGTCAGTGTACGTAACAAAGCATAAAAAAGCACAGCTGAATATTGACTAAATATGCGTGATTGCTGCTACTTTACCATTTATAACTTGAGGCCACTAGTCTTTTGTCCTCCCAAGATATATTGTGATTATTATAGAATTAGCCTTAGATGATAGTGTCCAGTCTAGAACACAGTCTTACTTCCTTGAACATAACTTTAAATCATATAATACAAGTCTGAATTCTTTTTTTTTTGGTCTTTTTCGTTTTTATCGGTACCGGGGATTGAACTCACGACTGCCTGCTTGCAAGGCAGGCGCTTATGCCACTGAGCTAAATCCCCAGCCCCTAAGTCTGAATTCTTTTAAGTCATTTCTAAAATGCTCTTGCTTATGTTTCTTGCTTAACTGTAGTGTCCTAACTTATGTGTCATAAATATTAAGTAAAACTTGCCCAGCTACCGATACGTTCTTGAAGGCATTTGGTTGGAGGGCATTTGAAAACTTAAAGGGAGAGGAACAAGAAAAGGTTTTCACTATTACCTTTTATATATAACATTGTTTTAAAGCAAATCCCTTCAGCTACAAAAAACGTCGAAAATTGAATGTTCAGGGAAAAAAGAACAGTAAAAGTAACAGTCTATTTCTAACTTACGATGATTGGACTACCATTTTTTTAAACTTTATAATGATGAGAAAGTAACGTTGATTTAGAATTTTGATCTTTTCCTTCCCTGGCCCTGTGGAAAGACATTGAGACTTAAAGAGGAAATGAATAACTAAGCCATCTGAGTATCTGTTTGGAAGTTGTAGGTAGAAGGAAGAAAATAATCTCTGTCGTAAGCTCATACCTGACAGCCCAGTAAACCAGTGGGGCTGGAGAGAAAAGTAGAAAGTGAAGTGATAAATGTAACAGAGGTTAATTTGTACTTAGCTTCCTTAGGTGATTATGAGGACATTAGGGGTTTTGTTTTGTGTTTTGTCAAATGAATTAAGATTAATTTTTTTAAAAGTATTTGTTTTTATATTTTTCATTAAAAGACACATATTGTTTATTTAGTACTTGGAACATTTGGAAAAGTGGATAATTCTAAAATAGAATAAATCTTACCATCTGTGTTCTGTAAGTTAGAATCACTAGAGACAAGTTGACAGATAATTTGGAAGATGGTAAATAATGATTTGAATACCTTTATGTTAAGGAATAGATGGATACAAAATAACTCAAAAAATAATGCTAATGAAAGCTTTACCTATTGTATGCATAAGAAATGTATTCAGAATTATGCTAAAAAGTGATAGCATTTAACCATTCCAGTTTTAGAGAAGAATAAAAATACATGAATTTGACCTTTACCTCAGGAAATTAGGTTATTGTAAGATGGTAAATATAGAAAACAATTTTAGCAAGAGTTGTTTGTTACTTATGTATAAAGGTTCAGTTAACTTTGGGTGTTGCTCATGTCCTGTCGCTGTTGTATAAATGTACTGATTAGTAAGGAGAGTTACTAGGCTTGGCTTTGGTTCAAGACTCAGTAACAAGGATGGCGTCAGTGCAGGCGTGGACAGGCAGTTACTGTGTAGACATCCTCATTGTATTTTCTGTGTTTGTGGCAGCCTTTGTGTACGGCCTTGATTTTAGTAGTTTTTTGTAATAGTCCTTTTATCATGAAAATCTTTCCTTTGCTGGCTTTCTCTGGCTCCATTTGTCAGGATGTGACACAAATGATCCCATTTTGACTGTTAAAATTTGGTATCTTCCTGTTTGTGTGTGTTCTTCTCTTTCCCTTCATTTTCCTCTTTTCTCCTTTCCCTTCTGTATCTGCCTGCTCTCTCTGCTTTCTTCCCTTCTCTTTTCTCTTACCTGTTACCGTGTTACCTGTACGATGTAGTAGATGCTTCTTATCAGATTTCAGAACTTTTCTTCTATTCCTACTAAAAACTTTGAACATGATTAATTGCTGAATTTTACCAACTTTTTTCTACATTTTTTGAATAATTACTCATTTTGTCTAGTACAATAAATTACATTGTTTTTCTAACATTAAAACTATCATGAATTCCTGGAGTTCATTTGGTCATGATAAATTATTATTTTTATATTTTGCTGTGTTTGATTTACTAATATTTTGTTGTACTTATATTTCTGAAGGATATACTTGTTCTCTCAGTATCCTTGTTTGTTTTGGTAGTGTTTGCTTTGCTTTACTGTAATCAGATATCTGAGGCAGCTAACTTATGGAAGAAGAAAAGTTTTATAAACTCAGTGTAGAGAATCCAAGTCCATGATTGGGCAGGGTGGAGAAGCCGGCACTTCATGACTTGAGTTCATGTACAAGCAAGCATTCATCCCTTAACAAGAGCTAGAGTGGAGGAGCGAGGGAGCTGGAGGGGGGAGATAGAACTAGGCTCCATCTTCTGGGAGGAATTCCCAGGAGCAGTCACAAACTGCCCCGTGTTCCCCAATGACCTAAAAATCTCCCGGGCGTCCCTGCCTGTTGAAAGAAGTGTTTTCTCCTCTCTTTTTTTTTTTTTTTTTTAATAGTTTGAGTAAGATTACTGCTATTTCGCTATTTCTTCCTTGAATATTTGGTAGAATTCCTGAGTGAAATTATTTGGGCCTAGAGTTCTTTTTGTGAAATTATTTACATTCCCAATCTTAATTTGTGAAAAATGTGGTGAATTTTGTTTTTGAAGGAATTGTGTGTTTTTATCCTTTCTTATTATCCTCTGATGAAATAGTTTTGTCTCTACTTACATAATGCTTCTAACCCCATGTGTGTGGGTTTTTTCCCTCACTATGCAGTTCATCAACTTTCCCTGTATGAACTGGGTACATAATTTAGTTAATTCTGACATTATCTTCTTGCAGTTAATGTCACCTTCCAAAAGTTTTACAAGGCTGTCCCCACTTCAGACTCCAATCCCAAGTGTAGGCATCTAATATTTTTGATTAGCCAGTTGTAAACCAGGGATTGCCGTGATCCCCTCCTTGGTTTTGATGGACTAGTTCCAAGAACTCAGGGAAACACATTAGTTATGTTTTGCTATTTTTTCTGTCTTTCTTTCTTTCTTTTTTTTTTTTAAATAGAGGTGTTAGTAACAGCCAAACAGAAGAACTACATAAAGCAAGTTACGGGGGTTGATTTGTAGTTTTTATTCCTTGGTTTTCTCTATGCTGTCACCATTTCAGTGTCTGCCAAGCCAGAAGCTCATCTAATCTTGTTTTTTACTTTGAAACAGGGTCTCACTAATTCCCCAGTCTGGAATTTGTGATTCTCCTCCCTTAGCCTCCCAATACTAGATATGGAAAACAAGGCCTTGTCACTGAGCTACTTCGCTGCCCTCAGTTCCCTTTGATTTAGGGCAGTGGTAGTGAACCTATGGCCTGTGACTGTTGGTATCACTGAAAGCTTTAAAAGGTTTGCCATCACTGATAGAGGGTCTAGCTAAATTAGTAGGTTTCCCACACTGGTTTTGCTATCTGTCTCAGTCCCCCAGGGTTCTAGGATTACAGATGTACACCACCAAACCCTGCTATTGACATAGTTTTGACCTCACAGAGATCCTCAGAAGATTTTAGATAATCCTCCTTGACTCAAAACCACACTTTGGAGATCACTTTAAGGCAACCGGTCTAAATTATTGAGCTTTGTCTTTTAAAGACAATCTTCAAATGTTTGTATTAAAAATTGCCTGTTGATCAGTTTGT